CAAAAAGTGGTGGTCATTCGACCAGACAAACAAATAGTGGCAGAAAGCCATTTAGTACCACAAATAAAACCAAACGAAAGGCCAGCATTCAGCCGCTCCGAAATCAACCTCTACCAAAAGCTTATCCACAGCGAAAGGCCTCAGTCGGTTATCAGTTGAAGCAGGCAAAAAGTGGTACGAGCAAGTTAAAATCAATTCCAAAATTAAAATTGGCTCCAAAAATTTCCTCTTCTCTTGATCAACACAAATCGCATGCCCCGCCAGCCAGTACTCCACTAAGAAAGGCTTCCATAGGATTCAAATTAGCACAAAGTAGAGAAAGCAAAAAACAGGCTACGGGAACATCGTCAAGTGATAATGAAAAGAAAGATGCTACCACAGGTAAACCTAAAATACAAAGAAAAGCTTTTGTTGGCCACAAACTAGCGCAAACAAAAAAAGATCAAACACAAAAAGAAAGCACAAAATCAAAATCTGAAAGCTCATCTTCTAGTGATAGTAAAGATGGTCACAAAGGTAAACCTGGCGAAGCTAAAACTTTGCAAAAATCTTCGGATGGCAGCAAACAGGAAACATCAAAGTCTGAATCGTCTAATGCAGACCAGCCTGACTCCTCTTCAACTTTATCAACAGAGGAAGCTAAAAGGCGAAAAACCGCTAACCGTTCTAGCCAGCAACCAAACGCACCAGACACACCAGAGTCTCTTTCAGAACAATCGGAAACAGGTGAAAAAGCTAAAAAGCAGCAACCGAGCGGTGACCAAAAACAGGAAACGCAAAAGTCAACCGCTTCCGCTTCGGGCAATCCTGACGAGCCTAACAACGGTCCCACAGGCACCAGCACGCACACCGACACATCAGATGACAGTTCCTCTTCAGAAAAGACAGAAGAGTCTTCTGATAGATCTCCAGGGAGAGTCAAAACACAACGCAAAGCTTCCGTCGGAAATAAACTAGAAGAGCAGAGAAAAGCAGAAGCTGCAGCTGCAGCTGCTGCCGCTGCTGCCAGAGCTGCAGCACCAGGTGAATCAGCAAGCACCAAAGCACCGCCTGCAAGGCCGGATCGGCACTACATTTCCGAAGACCGCGGCCCTAGGGATAAGCCCCCAAAGGGAACGAAATTTAACCCGGAGGAAATCAGCACGCAGGCCAGTCTGACAACGGAGACAAAGAACGCCGACAGTGATCGATTTCCGACACGACAAGTTCAGACAGACCCCGAAGCGGGTAATCGCGTTGTCTACCAAAGCTCAGTCATTGGCAGAGAGAATCTGGACAAAGGCACCGATGTGAATAATTCGGCAAGGAAGAAGGTGCAAGAGCCGAAAAAAGATGGAGAGGCGCAACAGGGTGGAGAGGAGGGTCAGNCAAGAGCCGAAAAAAGATGGAGAGGCGCAACAGGGTGGAGAGGAGGGTCAGGAGGAAGGCAAGAAAGATCAGGCAGGACACATGCTGGCGAAACGGTTGGGTGGCCAGGGTACTCTGGACAACGTCATACCGCAGAATGCAAAAATCAACCAAGGAAACGGTAAGGAGATGGAGGCAGTTATTGCGCAGGACGTCAAAGACTACGGCCAGGTAAGGTACACTCAATTAAACATCTACGACGATCAGCCCGATATGCCAAAAGCGACTCGCCCCTCGGAGACACGTTTCAAAGTGGAGACCCTCGGTGGAGATCTGATTCGCTACGGGATAGTGGATAATCCGCCTAACAAACCGGAAAACATGAATCCGCTGCCTAGACCCGCTGATGGTGCTTAAAAGACTATTAGTAGATTTTTACGATGCTAATTTTTATAATTAAACTTTTTTGTTTTAAATCGTTGCAAAAAAAATTTTATCTCTACTAGTGTCCCTTTTCCTATATAACAAGTTATTAACAAATTAGCGAACATTTTATGCCCTGTGCTGTATTTTGTGCAATATTACAAATGTAGCATTTGCACTGACAGTGCAAAAACAGTTTGACAACGTGGTAACACGCAATAGAGCTACTGCACACTGAAACTGTAAGCCATCC